CAGGAACTTGCAAGTCCCAGGCTGCAGGCAGGAAAGTGGCCGGGATAAGGAGCAAGAGGGTCGGGGGGGGGGTATGTCAATTGGGGAGGATTGCAGCAGAATGCCTGAGGCACTATGAGTGATCCTTAATGGTCTCTGAGCTTAGTTGTTTTCCTGCAGACATTTCATTGCTAAGAAGTGTAGTCATAGACCTACCGGTATTATCACATAAAATTTATATCATATATCATATAATGTATTATCTTTCTAACACTGATGATGTCACCTTGTTTAGGTAATGAGACATCTGCAAGAAAACAACCAGGCTCAGAAAGCACCAAAGACACCTCATTTCCACTCTGAGCTACAGAGTGGAATGAGGCACTGCATGTGGCGGGGAGGGTGTGTGAGAGTATGAGGAGGCATGAAGATGCCAAGCAAGTTGGGGAAGATACACAAAGTGCAAGAGAGTGCAAGAGAAGTCTGGTGTTGAGATAGTGCAAAGGGGTGTATAAGAGGCATAGTATGGATTGGGGAGGGCGCTACAGGGATCAGAAATGGTGTGTGAGATGTGTCATGGGTTGGATGCATGAGGATACTCAAGCGGTTGGTATGGTGCAAGCAGATAGGAGCTGGGGGAAAGTACTGTATTTTTCGGAGTATAAGATGCTCCAAAGTATAAGCTTTTACCTAGCTTTTAGGTAGGAAAGGGGGGGGGGGAATCTGCTTCTGCCTCCCAGAAATTTGCCTCCTTGCAGCAAATAGCAAACAGTACAGATGATATACACTGTTTGTGGTGTTACACTTCAGACTATACTTGTATAGATGCTGTTAAATTGAAGTGACTTTCTGGAAGTATACATTATTCTCTGTTATTTAAAAGAAGATACAATAGTACTGGGCCTTTTCAGATCAAGCATTTATTTTAAAATGCTTCTTCATTTTGTTAAGTTGTCTAGAACAATAATAAAGCAGTCTTTAAAAATAAGTCTAATAATTTGAACATTCTATAGGCATTTATAGTTATTAACCTACCTCCTTGCAGCAAACAACAAACATCAAANTGTTGGGAGGGGCAATTCGGCTGGGTGGGTGTGACTGGGTGGGCATGGCTAATTTAGCAGTCCATTTTGCCTTTGTCCTTGCTGTACTTACTCAACCCAAGGAATCGATTTACTTAAGAGCCCCACCCCCCCCCCCAAAGGGAAAAAGAGCACAAACTTTCTTGCCACTTGCCTAACTTCATTAAAACAGCAGCTTCAGGCTCCTTAATAGGCCATTTAAAAAATTAAAAAATAAACAGGATTTCCTTCAAAATAACTGCTGATCATATGTTTCAGATGACTACACAATAAACCAGACTGAGAACTGCACCAATTAAGTCTGCAACTAAAACCCCCAAGATGGACTTTGAGAGACATTGGAAGCAGGCAGAAGAAGGCGAGAATCAACAGACACACACACACACAGCCTCCAAGGGTGAATTAAGGAGGGATAATGGTTCCTCAGACTATTGGGACCCGGACTATAGTTTGAAAAAAATTCTATGAACACTGTACATATCTTTATTTCAAGTGCAAAAAAACCATGAAATAATACAATATTTAAAATGAAGAACAACTTTAACCAACATAAATTACTAATTCAATGGGAAGTGTGGGTCTGCTTATTTGAGATTATAGGGATAAAGATCTTTTAAGCCTGGAAGGGAATTCACAGTGATTTGCTTTTTGCCACACTTGTGCTTGTGTATATACCAGTGGTGGGATCCGGATCCCGTTCCAACCGGTACGGTTGAAACGGGCCTGGCGGCATCCACATGAACGCACGCGCATGCATCTTACCGCCTCCGTGATGCTCCAGCTGCTCAGCAGAGCATCACACAGGCGCTGTATGCGCCATGTGTGGAAGCCTTAAAAGACAGGTAAGGAGCTCGGGCGGGTGGGTGGGCCCTCCGGAGCACCTTACTGGAACGGTATCCAGTAAGCTTCGGTACGCCCATACCGGAGCATACAGCCTGCAACCCAACACTGGTATATACACACATGAATATCTACTAAAATTGTTCAGCAACCAATTTGGTTTATGTACTTTGGTTTATATGGGAAGAATCAAAGCAATGGGTGAATTCTTCAGGTATTATACTGTGGTTGCATTTGAATTAGTGTTAGCCAACTTCCACTGATTTTGAAAAGCTAGGAATCATGGAGACAAGTCCCTCACCCAACCATGCACTTTTAAAGCTACTTTAAAAGCAGTCTTTTCCCTACTCACCCACAGGCCCTGGATCACGTGGCTGTGAAAAACATCTGAAGGGCTGTTTTTAAAGCACTTTTAAAAACTTTTAAAGACTTTTAACACACTACTTTACAAGCTGACAGCTGCTTTGCAAGCTAGCACCACCTCCTCTCCTACTCACCCACCAGCCCTGGATCACATGGTTATGAAAAACATCCAAAAGGCTGTTTTTAAAGCACTTTTAAGCACTTTTAAAGACTTTTAACACACTACTTTTCAAGCTGCTTTTCCTCCCACCACTCCATGGGCCAGATACTTTGCATTGGCGGGCCATATCCAGTCTGCAGGCCATAGTTTGAGGATACCTGTCTTAGATTTTGTTTTGAGTGATTCCCCCTACATTTGATTCATTACAGTTTGCCTATCGGAAGAATTCTGTAACAGCTTAGTTCCCTATGCCATCCGTCTGGCAAACTCACAAGATTCATTTCTCTTGCATGTAAATGTATACATACAAACCAGACTGTGTTGTTTCTCTATGTCATATAATATATGTGGGTATATGCATAATTTTGTACGTATGTATCGTATTTCCCCGAAAATACAACAAAGTCTTATTTTCTTTTGCTCCACGAAATATGGCCTTGGGCTTATTATTAGGGAGGACTTATTGTTTTGGGGTTGCTGGGCAGCTACTTCCTTGCGAGCGGGCTCCTGAAGAGCCGGGAACAGCCTCAGGGGCAAAGCAGCAATGAGGTAATCACGCTCATGAGCAGCCACCCAGCAAATCCACACTCTAGCCGGGCAGAGCGCCATTCAGTGGAAGACTCTCTGTCCAGAAGACTCTCTGTCCAGCAGCCGGCCCACCATAGAGAGCATTCCTAGAGCAGCCGATGCTGGAAGACTCAGCCCCGGGTTTTGGAGTTTGGAAGTTATGCTTGGAGTGTGGCGGCGGCGGGCAGCGGGGGCCAGTGGCGGTGCCCTGGGAGAGCTGTGCAAGGGCTTGGTGAGGTTGGGGGCAGAACAGGTGCTCGCGCAACCCCCCTCTCCAGCCAGGCAGAGCTCCATGCACTGACTTAGGGGGTATCCCAAAGGTGCCAAGCTGCGGGAGCTGGGGAGCGGGCACAGTGCCACGTGGCTTGGTGCCTTAGGGATACCCCCTAGGTCAGTGAATGGCGCTCTGCCCGGCTGAAGAGGGGATTTGCTGGGCGGCTGCTCGTGAGCGTGATTACCTCATGGCTGCTTTGTCCCTGAGGCTGTGCCTGGCACTTCAGGAGCCCACTCGGAAGGGAGCAGCCACCCGGCAACTCCCCCCTCTGGCCAGGCAGAACGCCACTCCCCAACCGAGCGGTATCCCGAAGGCAGCAAGCAACATGAGTGCCTTTCCCCCCGGCTTCGCACCTTCGGGATACCGCTAGGTTGGTGAGTGGTGCTCTGCCTAGCCAGAGAGGGGGGGTTGTCCAAAGGGTTTATTTTGGGGGGTGGGCTTATATTTTTGCCCACGCAAAAAATGTGGCAAGGCGTTAGTTTCGGGACAGGTCGTATTTTCAGGGAAACACAGTATGTATATATTTATTTTGTCATGTTTGTGTAGTGTATATTAGAGGTGGACACCCTTTGAGAGCTTTTTGCAATGAAATTTCCTGTTTATGTATGCCGATTAATGTACATTCGAAGTGACAATAAAGTTATAAGTTCTAAAAAAAAGTCAAGGAAAATAATAGCAATATATGCATTACCACATAAGGAAAGGAGAGACACATAACATGTAAACCCAGGAACTATTATATAGAAAAAGGCTTAATTATAATGAAGCAGCTGAACTTCTTATTCTTCAGTAAAACAACTTATCTAAGAGAACTTTGAGCTTGACTCTCTTCCGCTAGCTCCTAAGAGCAGGTTTTATTTTCTAGAGTGAGATTTATTGCCAAATTCTCAATGAAGCTCTGCCAACAGGAACTTCATTGCCCATCTGTCTTACTAAGTGATTCCCATAAAAATCATCTGCAGAAGATTCTTCAATCTTCTAAACTTCATATAATTCATACATAAGATGCATAGAATTTACAAAGAATAACGGCTATGCATGTACCCATCCAGAGCAGGCCACAGGTTTCCTGGTTCAATCACAAGATGCAGAGAAAGATCATAATAAAAATCTTGCTTTTGAAATCTTTTTTATTTTAAGAGACAAATATACTCTAAAATATACTTTAAATAAACATTAATGAAAACTTGGCAAAAATATTTTTGTGTTATCTTAGGTGACAAACTGTTTAGATTAAGCTACAATTCTTTTCATAGTTACATCAGCAATATTCCTTGAGTTTTTTCCAAACTTTACTTGGAAATAAAATTCTCATCTCCTTATTTTCTCTCATCTAATTTGTGAACTTTTTTGAACTAGCTTAACATTTAGTTTTCTATGTGTGAAAAAATAAATGCTTTAAAAAGAAAAGAAAAATAAGATTCCTTTGAAAGAGAGGCGGAAGGGAGAGGAAGGGCAGAGGGGGGGAGGGAGGGAGTGGGAGAGAATTTACAATTTATATGGCAGATAGATTCCACTACAGAAATTTTAAATTAAACTAATGCATATGCCAATCTTTAACTACACTTTTAATTAAGTTTAAACTACACTTCTAAAAATCCCCGAAACAAAACCTATAATAAATACAGTACCCTTTGTAATAGTATCTGCAAGTATTAAAATATAAAGATTACCATTCTAAGCGTTTTATGATTAAAGAAAATGCAAGACTTTAAAATATAAAATACTGACATACCTCTGGAGCCAAATATTCTGGAGTACCACAGAATGTTTTCATAGTAGCTGCATCTGTGATTCCTTCTTTACAAAGTCCAAAATCTGTAATTTTTATGTGTCCATCTTTATCCAGCATTAGATTTTCTAACTGTATTTTACAAAGACACACAAAAAAGTCACTTAAAGACAAAAAAAAAACCACCTGCCATGTAAGAATTCTATTACAATTTTGCTATCAATAAAAGTAATAGATAACGACAATTCTGATATTTTTAAGTTTTTTTCCTTTAAAATTAGTTTAATGGTCACTTGAACTGATTGAAGTTACAAATTTATTTATGTATCTTTACTCCTTTAACCCAGGGTACTGTTTCCATTTTAATATATTTCCTCATTTACTCTTTTTGAACAACCAATAATGGCTTTTAAAATAATATTATTCTAAGAAAAACAAAATACCAGCATATCTATTAATTATACCAGTACATATCTTTGTATCTAGTTTGATATTTACTTTCTTCATTTATATAATTGCTATTTATATTTTTATAGCATGATTTTTAGGACTAGGCAAATCCTACAAAAGATGTACTGCTGAACATGAGGGTACACGCATGATCTTTTAAAAAGTGGCTCATGGTATCTTGATAGGCATATGTGTGCATCTTGTTTCATTGGTAAACACACAGCCATTTAACCTTAGAAGGAATAGCAGCATACACTTGCAGGCAAAAGCATAAATGCAGAAAGAACTACTCTATGTAGTGGTATTCTATCTTCTTAAACATGAAAGAGTGAAAACTGGAATTATGTAAAACAGTTCATGTATTGTACAGAAAAAGTGAAATGACAATGTAATTAGCTTCTTGTTTTAATGACCCAAATTCTTTACTGTAGGCAATTGGAATTCTAAAACTGCTAGGAAACTCAGTTTAATGTATTCATATACTGTGGCCAAAGTTCATTATTCCGTAATTATATAGAAACTAAGGGTGTTTGCAGCAAGTCATGAAGACTGAAAAATTCTATTCACATATGTGGTATATCATAATGCAAATACTATTATATAATTATGAATTTATAAAGTGATTTCTGATACAATTACATAAATCATGGGGTTTGAATCAAGATGCCAGAACTCATATTTTAGCAATTGCTCCCCTTGCTAAATCATCCATGGAAGTTTCTTCATCATAGTAATATCTAATCAGGGTGACAGATTGCTAATCAACGAGAAGCAACCTAGAACTAAAGAGAAATTTCCTGATGGTTAGAACAATTATTCAGTAGAACAAATTGCCTCCAGAAGTTGTGGGTGCTCCAACACTGGAAGTTTTTAAGAAGAGATTGGGCAACCATTTGTCTGAAATGGTATAGGGTTCCCTACCTGAGCAAGGTGTTGGACTAAAAGACGTCCAAGGTCTCTTCCACCTCTGTTATTCTGTTCTGTTCAGTATGGTAATAATAACCTTAGATGCATGAAGAACATGATATACTACACTGACATTAGAAGCACTGTTATTTGTCATTAATATATATGTATAACAGTTAAGTATTAACATATTAAAGATTTTTGCTTCTTTCCTTTTATTTGAATCATTATAAATCTTGATATACTGCATCATTTCAATTTCAGTACAGTAATATTTATATAATTAAAGACTGTTGACATTCTAATGTCATGGTGGCGCAATCGTTAGAATGCACTATTTCAGGCTGACCCTGCCCATTGCCAGTATCCTGACTAGTTCAAGGTTGACTCAGCCTTCCATCTTTCTGAGGTCAGTAAAATGAGAACCCAGATTGTTGGGGGGCAATATGCTGACTCTGTAAACTACTTACAGATTGATACAAAGTACAATGTAAGTGCTATTACTAATGTTATTGCTATTTACATAGCTTGGAGTATTGAAAATAGTCTATATTAAATGACTCAGAAGAGACTCCTCCCCAAGATGACTACTGAACAATATGAACTTTTCTTTTTCCTGCCAATGATATGCCACTTTTGCTGCCAAAGCTGGTACTTTGGTAGTGCTGCTCCATGGATTTGAATGGGAGCATTTAGGAATGACCCAAGATGACTTTCAGAGACCTGGGAAGGGGAGTCTGAAGGGAAGATTTCAGTTTCTTCTGAAAGCAGACAGAAAGTCATGGGTATCCATCTTTCCTCTTGGCAGGTCATTTTCTTCAGCATGCCTGAGTTTAAATTTCACTTTTTGAATCTTTTGTTTTATTTTACTTTTTATCTATAAAAGGTGACTGGCTGGTTGAATGCTGATTTATTTTATCCCCCTGCTGGACCCTATCTGTTCATCTTCTCTTTGACTGGTGTGCTATTGTTCTGAATAACTTTTGCTTTTTCATAAGGAAATCATGTCATGTTATGGGGTAATGAAAGTGTTTTCATTTGATTTACATCTATTTTGGACTCTCACTACAGGATTTTTGTATATTACTAACTTGTAAAATGTTTGAAGCTTATTTTTTTAACTCTTTTTTAAATTTTGGATTGAAATATATAGAAAATATATTCTCTGGGGGGTTTTAGGTTGTTTTTTTTCCCCATTCTGAGGATGCTTTTTAGTTATTTTTTTCATTCTGAGGATTCCTGTGTTCTTTTATCTATCATTGCCAAGTTACACAGAGCAACAATTTATCAGGATACAGACAAGCAAATGTGGATGACATCAGAAAAAAGACTGTGACAAAATGCAATACTTATTTGAAATATTTTTAAAAAGTTTGATGAAATGATAATGGTTGTGGAAAATATTCAGTTGCATCTAGCCATAGATAAATTAAACTCACAAAAGGAATGCGATCTGAAAGCAGTAGGTTCGTTGGAAAGAAATATGAATGCTACAGAAGTAGAATTCACAGACTTAGAACTAACTGACAGTTCTGGTATAGAAAATGGCAAAAAAACACCCATTGGATATATCAGATTTGCTCAACAGCCATGGTGACTTTCTTAATGACCATTGTAAAAATGATTGCTTAATGACCACAATGATTTACAACAGCAATTCTGGCCAACTGTGGTCCTAAGTCAAAACTACCTACACTTGTTTAAGCAGGCTTGACCTGCTATAATGTGGGCCTTGTGAACCACCTGTAGCTTCTAGTTACTCCTCATGAGGTAGTAGAGAAAAGAATGCAGAAGGAGAAAAGATGGAGAGGAAGAGAAAATATGACCTCAAAATGTGAGTAAGTTCTTTTCACGTAGCACAAGGGAATGGCAGAAATAGTCAGTGGACCCAGTGAGGAAAAAGGAATCAAGAATGATAGTAAGTGGAAATGCTCCAGTTTGTTTCTATTACAAGAAAATAAGTCATTTTTTAAAAAAACTGTTGGATCCGACAAGGTGAGGAGACCTCCAATGGATTATTTTATCCCTAGAGACGATTTCCATCTATACAGAGAGAGAGAGAGAGAGAGAGAGGGAGGGAGGGAGGGAGGNATTTTTCACTATACCTTTTAGAACTATAATGCCTAGATTTGCACATAGTATTCTAAATGTGGTTTGAACAGAGCAGACTAGAGTGGAACACTTAATTCCTGTGACATGGATTCTATGTTCCTGCTAATGCATCTCAGGATGGCATTTACCATATTCTTCAGACTATAAGATGCTCCAAACTTTAAGACAGCTAGCTATTGGGGAGGAACACAAAAAAATCTGCCTCTGCCTCCCAGCAATTTGCCTCCTTGCAGCAAACAGCCTGGTCAGCTTCAGCACAGCTTGATTTAGCACAAGCAGCTGATTGGCGGTTGGATATACCTTCTGGAATATCGTCTATCACCTGTTCCAGGCTGCAAGGATCGCCACCACCCATCACCGCCTACTGCCGCCACTATTGTCGCTGCTGCCTATCGCTGCCTCTGTGCGCCCCATTTTCGACCTCAGCGTATCCCATTTTCAGCCCATTCCAGATGGCGGGGCTATGCGTCAGAGGCAATCCCCACCGCCTGGAATGGGCCAAAAATGGGGTGCACAGAGGCCCAAAAATGGAGCGTGTAGAGGCAGTGATAGGCGGCAGCAGCAATGGGCGGTGGCAATCCCCATAGCCTGGAACAGCTGATAGGTGGTATTTCGGAAGGCAGATCCAACCACCAATCAGCTGCTCGTGCTAAATCAGACTGTGCTGAAGCTGACCAGGCTGTTTGCTGCAAGGAGCAGAGGCCAAAGGGTGGGGGCCAGTGGTTGGGTGGGGCTTTGGCAACATTTGCTGTATGAGACACACAGACATTTCTGCCCACTTTGGGGGGAGGGAGTGCGTCTTAAACACTGAAAAATATGGTACCTTTTATGTATTCTATCAGACTTCCAATTGACATGGGCACCCAGATTCTTTTCACATGTACTATTCCAAGCCAGATCAGGTCATCCTATATTTATGTCTTATATTTTTTCTACCCAGATGAAGAATTTAACACTTCTCCCTGCTAAATTCTGTTCTGCTCACTTCAGCTAGTGCTCAAGCCTGTCTAGATGTTTTTGAATTTTTATCTTGTATTAACCCTACCACTTAGCTTTGTCCTAACTGCAAACTTTGTAAGTGTCCCCCAAGCTCTCATATCCAAGTCATTTATAAAACCATTGAACAGCATAGGATCCAAGACAGAGCTCTATAGCATTCCAATCAAAGGTTCTTTTCAAAATGAAGTGGTCATTAATGAGCACTCTTTTTGTTTGATGATTCAGTCAACAGTGAGTCCTTTTCCGTTAGTCCTTCTAATATCTGTTAGAAACATATTGCTCCAGTTCTTCAGTAATTCTATAATTCAAGAGGAGCAAAGTAAGTTAAGAAATTCAGATTTCTCATAATAGCCTATTACCACTTCATTATTTTTATTTTTAACACTTTTCCCCCACAATGGTGCACTTTTTTTTTATTTCCTCTTTCTTTCTAATGTAGCCAGAAAACCTTTCTCTGTTGTTTTAGGTACTTCAAACCTGAGCTCATTCATACTAGCATCTTTAGATTTCTATTATTTTCCTTTCTTGTGTCAACTGTTTTCTTCTTCTGGATGTTACTTGATAGAATTTCCCATTCTTTCTGGGAAATTTTATCCTTAAATATTAGAAGCCAATTTATCCAACCTAACTCCCAGCAGAATTCATTAAAGTTCACTTTCTTATGTTACCAAAGATTTAACCATATAATTCCATATAACTCATTCATTCATAAACTTTGTTAATTAATTATTTAAGATAGGTAATGCTGTATGATATAAATTGCAGCAACATTGTTCATATGCATAGGAAATTCAATAGCAACCTAATTCTTTACACGCTTTGTTTTCTGCATATTAAATTTATACTATCATAAGAATTTAACTTTCTCTCCCAAAATACTCTAGAATAAAAAGTTAATTCAGAACTTGCACATCCTCACCAAAACATTTCTAACACGAGGCTTAAATTAAACAGAATTACTGAAGAAATGCTGAGTATGGAATAAGGATCATAGTATACAGAGAGAGGGGGAGAGAGAGAAAGAGGGGGAGGGAGAGAGAGAGAGAGAGAGGGGGAGAGGGATGGAGAGAGAAGAAGGGGAAGAGGGGGGAAAGGGAGAGAGGGAGGGAGGGACAGAAAGAGAGACAGTGACAGCGACCTTTCGTCTAGATGAAGATATCACCCTGTCTTCAACTGCATTTTTTCATAAGCAAAATGTTTTAATAGAGAACTCTATGGCAAAACATAGAGGTAAAGTGTCCAATAATACTGAAGTTTAAAAAAGGATAAAACAAGTGAAATGCTAATACTTTCAAAAGTAGACTTCAGTAAATTAATATTCTGAATCTTAACAAATAAGAATTTTTTAATGTAATAAGTAATTGACAGACAATGCCTTTTTTAAAAATCCAAACTTTCCTACCCATCTAATTAGATCCTCTTAAACTTGCTATGCATTTTGCTCACAGGAAAGGCTGACTAAGAAATTCAATATTTTTACTTATTTTATATTCATTTAGCAAATTGATTTGTTCAGCAAACTGAGAAATACATGTGAGTAGGAAGGACAAGTGTTAGTAAAAGGAAATGTTACAGAGATTACAGTTATACCAAAGGACTATGTCAGTAAACTTAATAGTTAAGACAGAAATAAAAGCAGCAATAACATTACTTGCTTCACATCTTACCTCTCCTCCATTGACATATTCCATCACAAAACATAGTCGATCCTTGGTCTGGAATGAATATTTCAAAGACTTAAAGGGAAAAAAAATGCAGTTATTAAAGCAGCTATCTTCCAGCAATAAAGACAAAGGCAATATACAGTATAATCATTTCCATTCAATTCATATATACCTCAGTCCTATAACTATATAATCAGAAGTAATATGAGGGTCAATGGAATTTAACACTGGGAAAGTGTTAAATGACACATAAAATGTAATTTAATTTCAGAATAAAAACTGCCATGCAAAACCACTTAAAGAGGTGTTTTGGGAAATGCTTCTTAAAAACCTACTGCTCAAGTGTCAAATTATGACTCCTCGCAAAAGCACAACACAGCAGATTTAAGGCCTTTTAACACTGTCTAAGGATGAGTATGCACAAACCTATGACAATTCTATTTGTGTCAGTCCTAGAAAAGAAATTAATGCTTCAAGCAAATAGTTAAGAGGGGTACAAAACACCCTGGTTTCGAACAAAGTATAAAAGAAAAACATGGGAAAGTATGGCTAGAGATCATGACCTTCCTAGTAATTTACAAAGGAAGTGTTAGTAGTATCAGAAATACGTTTGCATTAATGAATTCAACTAAGTGATTTTTTTAAATTTTTTAATTTTTAATTTTCAAAACAAAAACAACAAAGAATCCTCCTTTTTTACATACTGTAGAAAGTGTATCAGTTGGTTACATCTCTTCCACAGTCATCAATCATAATTCATATTAACTCAAGCATTTTAACTCAGATACTTATACATATTACCATCATCATGCCTCCATTTTCATTTGACTACAATTGTTTAAACGTCCTTCATTATAAAATATATTAAGATTTAAAACATAACCACATACTGGCATTTCATTTGCTATTTCTAGTATCCTCCAATAACACTGAATCCTTATGGCCTATTCTAGCTAAACATCCATAATATNCAAACATCAAACAGCCTGTTTCAGTTTAGCCTGATTAGAAGAAAATAAAATCTGCCTCTGCCTCCCAGCAATTTGTCCCTTGCCGCAAACATCAAACAGTCCGCTTCACTTTCAATTTTAGTTTCCCGATGATCAGCTGTTTCAGGCTGCAGGGATTGCCATAGCCTATCCCGGAAGCCCCATTTTCCCATTTGTTGCAAGGAGGTAAATTGCTGGGAGGCAGAAGCCAAAGGGTGGGAGTTGGTGGGTGGACGGGGCTACATTTGGTGTATAAGATCCCCCCCAAATTTTCACCCTCTTTTAGGGGGAGAAATGGTGGACCTTACACGTTTCTTAAGAGATCCCTAAGGGGGAGTGCACCAGCGTGCCTACTGTCCCTGTTCTACTGTCTCCATTTATATGTACTCTTTTTATGTGTTTATGGCTATGTTTTGTTTATTTATATCCATTTATTTATGCCATTTTTCATGTGTTTTCATACTTGCTTCTTTGTACTTGTTGACAAATAAATAAATAAATAAATAAATAAATAAATAAATAAATAAATAAATAAATAAATACTCTGAAAAATATGGTATGTAGATGGGGAAGACCTAGCCTAGGGAATTACATCCTTCTCTGCCTGCTTCCCTATAACTTTGTGCAGAAGACACTAAGGAAGGTTGCAAATGGTGCAACCATTTGCAGGGCATTTGGCAATCACTCGTAAGTGTGAACAGGTTGCTAAGCACCCAGATTGCAATCAAATAACCACAGGGGTGCTGAGATAGTTAGAATTCTGAAGACCAGTGGTAACCATCATTCAATCAGCATGATTATAACTTGGAACAATCACTGACCAAATTCTTATAGGTCAAGATCTACATGAAAATAAAATAACAGTAGGTATTACAAGTAATAGGATTGCAAAGGTAGTGAGGTTCTGGGCTGTTGAGGATAAACATGCAACTGGAAAGAATATTTGCAAACTGTAAACCCATCTTATGTGATTATTCTCTTTAGTGATTAATATCTAGTACATTTTCCTGTCAAAGAAGCCCTTCATAGTCCTTGCTTTAATCAAATAATGCCAATTATTATGGATTATTTAGGCACTGAGATGCTTCATAAAATATGAAACCACAGTGGGGAAATATGAAACATTGTACTTACAATGAAAATGAACTTCTAACAAAACATCAACTCTTAAGTTTGATTTACCCAAGTTTAAAGTAAAAACAAAAGAATCCTCAATGTGTCAAAGCCAGTTGCAATGAAAAGAAAAAAGCCCTTCCAATCCTGTCCAGCTAACTGAATATTCAAAATAAACTTAGACAAAACGGCTCCTCTTCCGAGGTAGGTTAGCACTCAATATTCTACTAGAACAATTAAAAACCAAAGTCCCTATTTTCATTTATGGAGTTTAATTATAACTGAAGCATTTATAAGTGGTTTTATATGTGTTTGATGAAAAGAAGCAACAGAATTAACACATTCCTTTATCATACCACTAAACTGAATCTTTCTTATGAATTATTTACACAAATGCCAAGTTATACAGTTCACAATATAAAATTGAATAATAAGCATTTTGATGAACTTCAATCTAGACTGCAATTTTCTAGTTACTTTTTTCAAAATAGCATAACTTTCATAATTACTTTGTTTCTCCCAATAGTCTCTTCAAAAACAACATTTTGATTACTTTTTTTTACCTTGAGATCACGATATACAATCTTTCCAGAATGCAGATAGTCCAAAGCAGACACAATTTCTGCACCATAGAAGCGTGTGCGATCCTCAGAGAACACCCGCTCTCTCGACAAATGGAAAAACAGCTGCAGGGTAAACAGCAGGGACAGGATTGCAATAATTACTGATTTAGTGGGGGAAATTAACACAAACATAAAACACCTCTCATCACCATATTGTGATGATAGATAGTGTACTCTCAGTGGACATTCAGCACTCTTAGATAGCAGCTGGTTTATCTTTTCCAGGTTTCCAAGGGGAAAAAGCGAGCTGTTAAATCAGCATTTTAATCAATATACCAATCTTGTTTAAGGCATTTTCCTTGCTACCCATTTAACCTTCAGTTACCAGAGGAAAAATGTGCATCATCATCATTCTCTACTTTTTTCTTCCAGCTCCTCTTTCTCCTTGTTTTTTTTAAATTTGTAGCAAAGAAACTAATGTAGGAATTCTACCAATCACTCTAAGTCTTTATATTAAACAAAATAATGAGTATGGTTTAAAAAGTGTGTTTGTGGTCACTGAAATCTAGGCATTAGAAAGGACAATTTAAACTATCAAATCCAACCCCTTTCAGATCAGAAATTTCAGTTAAAGTATCAAAGAGGATGACTATTCTAGTCTCTGCTTGAATATATCCAGTGAAAGGAAACCCACTTTTCTGAGTAACTTAGTCCACCATAAAGCTTCTCTTCATATAAGGATTCCCACCCACTCACCCCAAATTTCATTCAGGGGATGTGGATCTATTACTGCTTTTCTATGCTTAGAATCAGAGAGAACATAACTTGAATTACTTATGTGTGATTCGCCCCCCACCCAGGAATTTAAATACTGTTCAGTTTTTCAACATTAAACATATTCAGCATATTAAATCTTTTTTTTTACAAAGGGTTGGTTTCTTCATCTTGTTTCCCTTCCTGAACTTATCCAGATATGAATATTTTTTAAAGTATGATCCACAATATAGGTAGTCCTCAAACCTATAACTACAATTGGGATGAGAATTTCTGTTGCTAAGAAAGGCAGTTTTTAAAGGAATAGTGCCCATCTTTACAACCTTTTGTCATTATTGTTAAGCAAATCAATGCAGTTGTTAAGTAACTCATATGGTCATTAAGCAAATACAGTTTCCCCCATTAATTTTGCTTGTCAGAAGATAGCTGGAAAGATAGCTGGTCACCAGTGGTGATCACATTAGCCCAGGATACATGCTAGTTGCCTAGCACTTAATACATACCAGTTGCCTAGCACTTGAATTTGATCACATGACTATGGGGATGCTACGACAGTTATAAATGGTAGGAAGACTGGTTGTAAATCACTTTTTCAGTGCAGTTTTAATTTAGAATGGTTGTTAAACAAATGGTTGTAAGTTGAGAACTGCATGTACTGTCATAGTACTCAAACTGAGGCTCTGAGTAACACAGGATAAAGTGGGACTATTACTTTCCACAATTTGGAAATAGTTATGCAACCTAAAATTGTATTTGCCTTTCTCAGTGTAACATGACACTTAGTTACATTGTTGGCAATCAATTATTATTCCATCATATTTTTTATAAATGCCATTAGTCTGTAATGCTCAATTCAATGCCAATGCATTTGATTTGTTGCCTAAGGGAAGAGCTTTGCATTTGTCTCTTAAGCTTCATCGCTTATTTTCAACCATTCCTCTATCTCATCAGGATCAATTTAAATTGTATTTCTCTCTTGTAGCGTTGTGTCATTTGCAAATCTGTTAAGTTTACCCTTCAATTTTTCAAGTTACTTAATACCAGAGCACTGAATCTCTTAGCATACACTTTTCTTCAACTGGATCAAGAATTACCAATGAGCACTCTTTCAGTACAATTTTTGAGATAGCTATATATGCTGTTCAGTTCTCATGCATGCTACCTACACATACAGGTGAAACTCGAAAAATTAGAATATTGTGCAAAAGTTCATTTATTTCAGTTATGTAACTTAAAAGGTTAAACTAATATATGAGATAGACTCATTACATGCAAAGCAAGATAGTTCAAGCTGTGATGTTTCATGGTTTACAGCTCATGAAAACCCCAAATCCATAATCTCAGAAAATTAGAANTAATAATTTAGTTTATTCAGCATGAAATGGAGCTTAGTTATGAAGCATAAGGATGTATATTCTATATTATTGGGACTGTCGGTGAGTCAACAGAGGAGAAGCTGCTGTGGGACAGAGATGACAGTTCTTTAAAAATTATGATTTAAGGCAAGCTGATTTAAATCAAGCCTTTTTACTAGTGATTTAAATCATAGTTTAAATCGTGATTTAAAACATCCTGATTGAAATCAAATCTACCATGAAATGCAAATTAGCTAAAATTGTACATAAAAAGCGATATACAGTGGATATAAAAGGTCTTCACACCCGTTAAAATGTTTTGCCCCATTTGATGACATTTCTTCCCATCATTGTTATGTGAATCACTGCCGTTGTTAAGTTAGTCACACGGTTGTTAAGTGAATCTGGCTTCTCCACTGACATTGCTTGTTGGAAGGTCACAAAAGGGGACACTGCAACCATCATAAATATGAATCAGTTACCAAGTAACTGAATTTTGGTCTCGTTACCATGGGGATGCTGCAACCATCATAAGTGTGAAGACAGTCATAATTCACTTTTTTCAGTGCCATTGTAATAAACAGTCACTAAATGAACTGTTGTAAGTTGAGGACTAGAGGACTAGATTAGAGGAAGTATCTTATAAGTACCCAAATAAGTAGGAATATGTTTCTAAGGGTCATTGAGTGATGTCATCTCTACTGTACAATATTTCAATTTACAACTTCAATTTTTTCTTGGTATGAAGAAATTAATGATTATTAGTAGTAGAAATGTGAAAAAAAATAGTGCATGTAATTTTCATACAGGGAATAGTTGCAACACATGAATACAAATATTCAAGAAGTTTTGATCTGCACCAAAATGAAATTGTTGTTTTGTTCCAGATATGGACTAAACCATAAAATACTGGGTAGTTCTTGGAATGCAAAGAGTAAGATTAATAAAAACCCACAGATGTCAATGGCAGCAACTAAGGGAAGAAAGGAAGGGAGGGCATTAGGAAATTAAGGGAGAGGAAAATAGAGGTTCTGCTCAACAGACAGCAGCTGAGAGGAAGAATGAAGAGAAAAAATGGAAGACTAGTCTTTCTACTTCCTCATGAAAATCATTCTAAGATTTTGTTTTGATTAAAACCTGGGACAACACAAACATTCTGGCAGATTGCTTCGTTTGATTTTAGAGGATTTTTTAAAAAGTATTTTCTATTGTTTTCACTTTCCTAGTTATCACAACAGTATTTCAAGCACACTTTATCAGTCTGGTCCCTAATCCTCTTCCCCAAATCTTTGACCACTAAAACTTTGAGTAGAGAGAGGCCAAATATATAAAGAGACTTGATTACTGATCAAAAAAATGTCTGAATATAATTTTGTTAAGAAGATGGTAACAAATTCCAATCCGATTTCAAGTGACCCAAGTTCAGTAATGTCAATATGTAAGCTTTTTGAATTTTATCCAGTAAAACCATTACAAGCATCTGAAGAATAGATGTGTATCCACATCATTTAAAATAAAACAAAAAATCTAATCAATACCACACAAAATGCATACATCAAACACAAAATACTTTCTCAAAAGCTTTGGAAAAACTACGGAAAGAATAGTTATGAATTACTTTTTTTTTTGTCTGTCAATCAACTGTATCTTATAGAAAGGTATAGAAAGCATTATGCACAGTGACAATTTTCCACAATGGAAATAATTCCTGGTTTGTTGGTTATGTATTTATTTAAACCATTTACAGATAGCCCTTGTACAACCACAATTGGGACCAGAATTTCTATCATTAAATATCAGTAAGTAAATAATCACGTCAATGATCTGATTTAACACAGTTGTTAAATGAATCATATGGTCATTAAGTGAATTATATGGATGTTAAGTGAATCCAGTTTCCATGACTGAATTTGCTTGTCTGAAGCTGACTAGGGAAGTCATAAATTGTGATAACATGACTGCATATTCTAATAATTGTGAATGCGAGCCAGTTGCCAAGCACCTGAATTGGCATTATATGACCACAGGGAAAAAGCAATGAACATATTTTTAAGGTTAGGTCAGAAATTCATTTTTTCCAAGGCTGCTGTAACTTCAAACTAGTGATAGGTTGTAGGGGCATAGCGGAGCCTGCCTGGAGCAGCGGGTACAGGAGGGCCCACCCGCTCGCACTCCTTACCTGTCTTTAAACCCTTCAGTGCTTCCGCATGCACACATGGCGCGTAAAGCGCCTGCGTGACACTCCGCCGAGCAGCTGGAGCGTCGCAGAAGCTTGTGGAGGCATCACTGGATGGTAAGACGCATGCATTCATGTGGAGGACGCCGGGCCCCGTTGCAACCGTACCAGTTGCAACAGGATCCGGAACCCACCACTACTTCAAACCATTGTTAAAAGAACAATTGTAAGTCGAGATTTACCTGCATATAGCTATCCATTCACAGCAATGGTTCTGGGCAATGCATAAAAGATATACCAAATTATACTAGTGGTATGCAAAAGATATACCAAACAATATTATTTCACTGCGGTTGAACATGTTCACCATTTTTTTCTATGTCATTTCTATACTTCTATACTTTCCTTGTAAAACCAATATCAGAAATAAAAGTTCTAATTTCTGGTATATATAATCTGTTTTAAATATCTCCTAAATATTTAATTTTCTAAATAATAAAATTCCTCAACTGAGCAGCCTAGAAAAAATAATATGCTATTTCTGAGGACCTAGCTTCAACCCTTTTGTACATATTTCTTTCCAGGCTCCCCTATTTAAATTGACTACAAATCCCTTATACCAGTGATAGCGAACTTTTTAGGCACAGACTGCCCAAATCAGAATGCACACTGTAGAGCGCTGGAAACCCAACCACCAGTTGGCCAGCGTGCATGCACGCCTTGGAACTCCAACGACTTGCTGACTGAGCTGGGGCAATGGTGCACATGCTCATAGACAGGTCTCTGCATTTCACCTCTGGCATATGTGCCATAGGTTCGCCATCACGGCCCTATACCTTCTAGCATAAAAATCCAGTTTGACTTTAACTACATTCAGTTTTAAAGTACTACAAACATATTGAGAGTTATCCTAATCAGAAATGGAAAAAAACTCAACATAGATTATGACAAGTTGAAAAATGAAAGGGGGGGGGGAGAGAAAATTAATTGCTTTGGATCTAGTCACTTCTCCAGGTAACAATTCAATGCTTTCACCAGAACATGCTATCTTCTTCCAATATAAAAGAACATAGATGCTCCTTTGGCAATAACATAAGATCACAACTCCCATGCATTATGTAAAGAGTTAAGGGATTTTGACTAACCTAAGATGCAAAGTTTTAAAACAGAGTAACACTTTTTGAGCTACTCTGCTCAGACTGAACTGCACAAATATGTCCTTTGGAATTATTAATTAAGTGTGTGTATATATGTATATGTGTTTGTGTTTGTGTGTGTGTGTGTGTGTGTGTGTATACACACACACACACACACACATACATACATACACACACACACATACATAAATTACTTTCCAATAGTGATATGTGACTGAATACCAAAAGAAGACTAATATTCAAAAGTTTGGGATATCATGAAAGTGTTACTANATTTAAATTAACTTTAAGTTTTTTATAGGCAGTCTCTTTTAAAATGGCAAAAATTCACCCTGACTTCATCAGCCTAATGGCTGGATTTTTTGTCACCGGCTTGAAGAACTTCTTTTGGATCCATCAGGGACTTTGTGATGTCCCTGAGATCAGCAAGACGTATTCTTCCTGTTCACCGTCTCTGCGGAACGGTTTAGGTCCGATTGGACCACCCAATGGCAAAAGTATCGGCTGTGGTCTCAGAGCATCATTACTACTATTGAGCCAGGTATCACCTATTACATACAGTAACTATCCATTTAGTTTTTCTTGCTATTACTTACTTTTGTCGCCACCGAATTTTATTTTTTTAGATAAATACTTGCAAGATGTTTTAGGTGCTGCAAGCTATTTTACTTCGTTTTTGACTTTAATTATGCTGAATAATTGTCTTAGGGAAAAAAAGAAATATGATGCAAAGAAAAAGTGTACCTCTCTTTACAGCAACTCATAATAAAAAATGATTTCTTCTCCAGAATCCTTTATAATTTACAGCTATTCTAATACAATAGAATGATGGTGTAAGATTAAATAAAAATACCCATAATATATATCAAAATGTATATGATGTACCCATTATCACTTTTCTTTTTTAAATAAATCCATCACTGTGTATGAACTTGAAGTATCCCATCTGTTTAGTCTAGCATTATTATATTGGAGGTTAATACTGCTAAGTATTCAGAACAGAACTGTTGATGCAAATACTCTGGACCAAAAATGTCTTGGTACATTAGCAACAATTGGATATGAGAAAGTAACTGACATAAACAAGACACACCATAAGGCTCTGAAGTATAATCTGTTTATTGGAAACCTTATTAAGTCTTGTCCAGATAATTACAGCTGTATAAATATACTACCGCTATTGACTCAAACAGGATCATTTGAAACTTATAAATATGTGTACACATGATACAGCTAGGAGAAGAAATATAGATGGCAGAATCAATCTGAAAGGTAAATGGAAAGTAGCAAAAAGAGCTTTTTCTCCACAATATTTAACCATTCTTCTCTGCAACATGAAGATATTTTTTATCTTAAATAAAGAACTCTATAAAATTACTATTCTTAATTACATTTTTATCATTTGGGTCTGAAGATAAGTGAAATTTAAGTTGAAGGAATAAACCTTTTATGAATAATTTATAGGCAAACCCCAAATATAATCCAAGAAGCATGATAGAAACAGGACCCTGTGGGTGAAATTAATTTCTAGAAAAATGTCCTGAAGGCTAACTATAGTCTTAATATAATGGCAACTAAATTTAACTTTCATATAAGAATGGCATATTTTTATTAAGAGATTTAAAAGAGAAACCACTCTTCTCAAGAATATTTCAAGCAATATATAAAATAGAAATATACTCGTAGATAAGCACAAAAAGAACTTTACCAGAGTTCATAACTGGTTTTAGATGAAAGCTAAATAAATTTGCAATATGAGAATAGTATACCTTTTACAAAACTGGTCTACAACCAACAGAGCTTCCAGTCAAGAGGGAATGTACACATCTGAAGAACACTGGAGAACAATATATACTTATTTTACAGCTGTGCAAATTTCTCAAAGAGGTGTTTCTCTAAATCAGGGGTGGCAAATTGGTGGCCTGCCGCCCACATGCATTACACGCAGGCCACGCACACCCAGCTCCATGAAGGGGGAAAATGTTGCAAAATGTCACGGTGACGTGGTGAGTTTCACCCCCATGCTCTAGATCCATAGCATGTTTTCCCTACATGCATATACAGGTGGAGAATATACTTCCACTAGGAATTGCCAGTAAAACAGCATTTTACTTCATGCATCTAAATGCTTGAGTTTTATGGGGAAGACTTCTCTATTCAGGCATGGATAGTGGGTATTTTTATGGCCAAATCATCTAAAGATAGTTTTCTGAAAACATTTAAGCGTATATATTAATATATACTTAAAGTTATTCCACTAAAAAAACTTTTGACTTATAGCTCTAGTCCATAAAGGCAGTTTTTAATAAATGTCACAAAGTATATTCGTAACATTTTTATCCAAAGTAAAATATTTGTGCCTAGCAATTTTTATATCCAACTAATTGTCTATTTGGATCACAAAATTGTCCAAGTGACCAAAGGCCCAATACCATGAATTACTAGTTTCAAATATTACTCCGTCTAGAGAATATGAGATTGTGAAGGTATCAATATCGAAGTTGAAAAAGTAATTTACTACATACTGAATAAATTGTCAGAAATAATTACTGGGGCAGTTTTATCTAAAAAAAAGTTGCATTGTATTGGAATTTGTGATTGTTTATGATTATATATATATATATATCTTGTCTATTAGATAGCAATAATAATTATTGGTCTTGTCCCATCCTATATATTATAGAAGAAAATAAATTAATGCTAGAACATCTGATCTAGCTCTTGAATATGCATAATATTTTTCCCAGCAAAGTTTTTATCCTGGGTTGCCAATAATATGTCATTTGGACTGGATCTGAAATAGGTCTTTGAATTTTGATACTGTTGGTTGCCCCATTTATCACCTCAACAAGAATACTAGCTAGTTGTAAAACCTATTTTTATATGTATGAATCAATTCCATCCAATCTTCTCAACAAATTCATTTAGTGTCTTATAAGTTGGGATTTTTAAAGTGTTTTTTGTGTTTTGTGTTCTGGTTGTTTTAGACCCGTGATGGCGAACATATGGCGCTTTTTGCTGGCACACGAACAGTCGCCCAGCTCAGATCCATTGCAAATGCCAGCGTGCTTCCCGCCAGCCAGCTGATTTTTGGATCTCTGGTGCCAGAAGGAGACGCATGTGAATGCATGGGGAGTAGGGGAAGGTCGCAGGTGCATGCATGGGGGGAGGGGGATAGCATGCATTCATGAGGGGGACACAGTATGACTCCCCCATGTCCCATTTTTGGTGCTTCCCCACCTCAACCTACCCCTGTGCATGCGCACGCGACCCTTGTTTTAGTGCTATCAGGCCTCCCTGAGAAACCTCCTGGCACCAAAGACAGGGATGACTTTGGCTCTCTCCTAACGGGAGAAGATCAGACCTCAACCTTGACTTGAAGTGGGGAGCCGCTCCGGATCTTCATTCCCCAAACAAGTTTGCCCCACTCAAAGGGGGGAGGGGCAAAAAGAGAGCACCAAAGCTACTCCCAAGCTGAAATATTCCAAGCACCATGAATCACACGCTCCCTTCGGCTACTTGGGAAAGAGATTGGGAGTTCTCCCTCCCATTCCATTGCAGGAGAGGTGACCAGACGGGGGGGCTCTCTCAGCCACTGCCGGGTGAGGAAAACTCTCGAATGGGGAATCGCCGAGAAAGGAGCCAGGAAGGTGGAGGCACTTGGCTGCGGCAAGCTGCCTGAAGTTGAGCCAGCTGTCTGGCAATGAAGGTCCAGAGAAGAGCAAGGAGGGGGGGCTGTTTTCTGGAAAGGGAAGGGGGGGACAATGGCCATCGCTCTTTCACACCTTTCTCCATCTGACCTTTTCCCTTCCTGGGTGTGCATGTGCTTCCTAAGTGCCTTTGGCTTGAAAAATGAAAGCAGGTGAGATCTCCACCAGTTTCTTTCAAGTGATTTTGGCCATTAAGATGGGCCACTATCAGCTTTTCTTGCCCATTTCCTCTGCCTTAAAGGGCAATGTGGATGTGTACGCATGTGTGGACTCACACATGAATGCAGTTATTTGAGCTCGGCAGTAATAACACAAGAAGCACCCCCCCCCTCTTGCTCTTCTCTGGACCTGCATCGCCAGATGACCGGCTCAACTTCAGACAGCTTGCAAACGTGCCACAACCAAGCGCCACCATCTTCCTGGCCCCCTTTTCGGCGATTTCCACTCAGAGGTGGGAAGAAGAGGCAAGCAGGCTTTTTAGAGAGTTATCCTCACCCGGCAGCAGCTGAGAGAGCCCTCCCGTCTGGCCACTTCTCCTGCAATGGAATGAGAAACTGTCTGATTTTGAGCCAGCCATCTGGTGGGCTGTTTTCTGGAAAGAGGGGAGGAGGGACAACAGACATCACTCCTTCACTATTCCTTCACTGCTTCCCTCCCGCTGCTCCTTCCTCTAGCCATGTTGGACTTGCTTGTCCCCAACCAAGCTTCGTTACGCTGTTTGTTTTCATTTAGCTGCCACTCGAACTCTTCAAAGTCCAACATGTCTTGCTGAAGGTCCTATACCTGAAGGAATTCCACCTGCAAGGATCCCACAAATGATCTCTCTCAGTGTAAGCCTTTCTTCTATAGATAGCTTGACCTTACACGTTCTTACTGCTGGATTGCTTTTGCAGGATTGATGAAACTGAGCTCTTTGATACTATAGAACATTATGAGGTCATTAAGATCTGACTCTCCCCTAACAGATGGTTACCATTATTGTCTTTTTCTTCTCAGTTTCTTATGATAGTATATCTATTTAAATTTCTTCTATATGCCATTAAAACACAAGAACCCTCCATCTTTTGCATCTGGTGACAAGGTTTTGAGTATATATTGCAACTATTATACACTTGAAATCAGCCTAAAATATTTTAATTAAGACCTGGACTGAACCAAACTAAGCTAAATAATGGCACTGATACTAAATGTATTGAAAGTATGCTACGATTTATTTAAAATATTTCTATATCAATTTTTAATTAAAATCATCAAGGAGGTTTTTAATACAATTAATAATCCCCAAATCATTTCCTGAATCCATTTCTCTTTTCTTTCCACTTATAGTATAATGCCTAACCATATTGTTTTAATATCTTCATACTTAAAAGTCACTACATTGCAGTATAGTTTAGGCATAATCGATCCACTGAACATTCTAGAAATTAGAAAAATTTCCAAGTAATTTTACAAAACACTATAAATTTAATTATCTATACTCACTGTTAGAAAAGGATGTCTAGTGTTTTTCAATACTCTACTTTCTGTAAGTGTGTGAGCCACTTCATCCTAAAAAATAAAAAATACAATATTAAAATTAGTAATTTTAGAAGAAAAAACTATTCAAAATATTATTGAAAAAATGCAAGAAGTTTCTGAAATATCATACACTAACCATTTTTTAAAAGGGAGAGGAAACACGGTGTTCAAAAGCTTCAAAAGGATACATCATACATGATATTTCATTCACATCAAACCTATAACAAGCACTACTGCTACAGCACTATGGTAAAATAATTTTAGTCTCCTGTACTATTGAATTATAGAATCCAGTATTTATTGTTGAGAAAATTATGAGTATTTCCTTGAATACTCACTTTTTAAAATATAAAAGTATACAAAGAGATGCAAAATCGTTTGTCAGTTGTCTGATCTGCGGTGGGCCATTAAGACTTATAGACTAAAGTTAGAATAGTGTATCAAGGGTTGGCCTCTTTTGGTATGTTCAGAATTGTCTCTTTTGCTATGTTCTGTGAGCAGAACATTTTCACATTGTAATATTTGATGTATCTATAAAATGTGTCACCATGGAAATATATAATTAAGATCTGGAGCACAAATGCTGTAGACTGCTACGACATATAAACAGTATGGTATTCATCAAGAATGACATGTCGTACAACATCTACTGAATCTGTACGGATGGGCCAAAATTAATCAGCAAAAAGTATCTTTGGATTTCATTTGATACAGTTCAGTCCCAATATCTGATCTTTAAAAAATCCGACAGCAAGTAAAGTGAAAAAGCTCTGCCTGAAATCCTGGTGAGCTGCTAGCAAGAGGCTACTATTCTGCAACACATAGTCACAGACTGATTTGGTATGGGCAGTTGCTGTCACTTATATACTAGCCTGTGTGTTCCTTGCTTTGTTCTGAACTTGGCTATTTTCTTGCAGACATTTCATTACTCAAACTAGGTAACATCATCAATGTTAGTAAGAAGTGGGATTTGCTCTCAGTTTATATTTTAGTGGCTTGTCCGGTTACTGTTCCTGGGGGTGGTCTTAGAGTTTTTGGTTGGGCTGTTTACTGTTGGCTGTTTATTATTATACTAAATGTATACTCAGATGCAATACTGAGGTTTATATAATTACTTTATAGAATTATATGATGGGACTGTAGGACGGGGAAAAATCTGAATTTCTGGGAAAGAACGGTTCTTACATTGCAATGAATCCCATTTCGGCCTCCATTCAATATAAAGAGACTTATATTTAAGAGAAAAGTTAAGAAAGTATAAATATTCTTGTGAACTTTAAAATTTGGGTGTGTGTGATTAAAGCCTTTATATCACAATATAAAGAAGTTTAAGAAGAAGACTAATTTAACCCATTGCTTGGACTTTCCAAGCAGTGCACAGGAAAATAAGCTATTTTCACAAATATCTATATTTACAACAAAATTATATTAAACACATAAACATACCTTTGCAATAATAACTTCCTTTTTTAAAATTTTCATAGCATAATATTTCCCACTTGCCTTCTCCCGGACCAGAATAACTTTGCCAAAAGTGCCTTTGCCAAGTAGTTTTAAGTAATCAAAATCATTCATTGTCTGTATGAAGTATAAGATGAAAAATTGATGGAATTTACAGCTTGCAGATATTGTATTCATTAAAATATTGTTGTCCATTAGTAAAGTCAATGGTTATTAAGAAACGAGCTATTCTTTACAAATCAGTGTGCTATTATTCCAAATGCTGATCTCACTTTAGTATTACTATTTACAATATAAGAAAACACATTTGAAAATGAAGTACACCAGCAGGTCAATTATCCTACGTAGTATAGACAATTATATAGCTATACAACATAGAGAAGAATAATTATTAGATTTATCAAAATGTTTTTGATAAATCTAAATTATTAGATTTATCAAAACTCCCACCTTTAGAAAGATCATCAACTACAGAGAAATATGAGAATTCAAAAACCTTTAACGGGCATACTGTTGGCTCTGAAGCTTCAGGTGAAAATTTCCTACACCAAAAAATGACTTCAAAGTACTGTAACATTAACAATCAACCTGTTTGTTTTCTTTGTAGAGTTTGCAGATTGTTTGTGTTCAACCTAGCTTGTAAAAATCTTTTAAGTGGACTAAAATGATTTTTTTGTTCTGTCAACAAGTCACAATTATCTCTAGAAGATCAAAATCTAGTAGCATTTCTTGTTTAAAAATATACTTCAGAAATGAAAAGGTAATTTTTTTATGTAATGATCCCTAGAAAGAGCACGTGTTTATAAAGGAAAAACACTGCTTAATAAATAGAATCATTTCAAAGTCTAAACTTTATTTATAAGCTCCTGAAAGCAATCTCATGCGATAGTCTATCATTTCTTATGGTGGATATTTTACTTATAGATGAAGAATTATCATTTCCCAGAGATAGGAAAATAATCCTTTGTTACTCAAATACTCAAATACTCAATAACTGATATTCCTGTATTGTAATTAGCATCCACACTTTTAAGCAAGCTAGGTCTAAAAATCTATCTTTTATTAATGCATTCTTATGAGTCACATTAACCAGATGAGATTTGGTCACCTAATAAGACACCCTTAATCCTCCAGTTGCACCCTCCTAAAGACAAATATGCACAATGATAATGTTCTTAGTCCTTCTAATAATCTCACCTAATAACTATAATCAACTTGTCACATCTGATTTCTAGGAAACATAATGCGTTATTTTTCTTACCAGATTGCAGGAACTTTTTATGCTCATTTTTTAGGATATATTAAAACAGTAAGCCAACAAATACTCAATACTCTACTGCTGATATAATAATTAGAATAATATTAGTAATGATATTTATCTGATCACCATTAAAGCTGCCACACATAAATCAATATATTGAATATGTCTATTTGAGCATCCACCAGTATCTCTGTATTAATAAACTGCATTATTTTAACACTTATTTTACTTAATATATAACATGAGCTTTGCTAGAAAACAAAATGGATTTATTTAAAAATGGGCTACATAGAAGAAAAAAATTGAGAAAAAAAGAGGGGAGAGAGAGGTTGCATATTTGCATTCTAGTAAATTAGTAATTCTCTCTCTCTCTTTCTCTCTCTCTTTCTGTGTGTGTTTTTGTGTGTGTGTGTTAGGTTTGTTCTTGGTTTATCACTAATTTGAGATGGCTGGCTATAAAGAATGAATGAATGCAAAATCAAAGCAAATCTCTACTAGAGCTGCTCTCAAACTGATCAGATTTATAAAAAGATATATAATATCCTGAAAACAGCCAGTTGAAAAGTTTTAATTAATAGAGTAGCTGTTTGCGGCTACAGTGATGTCTATAGAACAATAATCTGTGCAGAGGAGTTGTCAGAAGTTTTTCTCTGATCTTATCTCAAATGTCATTGTCTAACATATACAAAATAATATCCTATAATATCCTATAGCCCTTAAATGTTTTGAAATTAAATTGAAACAACATTTGAACTGTTTGGCCACAACTACAAAAGGCATATTTGAAGAAAAAAAGGTGAAGCATTAGAAAAATGAGTGTGTTCAGTTTGCCAACTGATAAGCATTAAAAAGGCAGTATTAATTGCTCTCAAAAGCTAATTGGTATTCAGCCCTGGTTAATATTTGGATTAGCGGCTACCTAAAAATTCAAGTGCTACTAGTTTGAGTAGGAAGTTTTTAAAAAATCCGGAAGAGGACAGTGATAAACCAGTTCCATAATAGTGCCTCAAGAGCCAAGTGGACCTGGCTAGCAGTTTTATTCCTAATGAACTTAAAATAATGGCATTCTACAAAGTAACATTTTCTTTCAAGAAACTTTTTAATATGCAATTTATATTCTCTGACAAACTTTCAGCTAGCTTCCACTTTTTACTCTCATTCTTGTATCATCACATAAAAGAATAATTATTTCACTAACTGGTACAAAATATAAACGATATTTGGGACAGAGAAGGAGCCACTCAGCATTACTAAACTACAGTGCTGCTCAGAATTAACCCACTATTTTTCACCATTATTCTAATTAAAGAAGAAATAACTAGTGAACAAACAATACACATTGATGGTAATAAGTATATGGAATATTTGTACTCTGCCTATCCACAAAATGTTTTCTAAATGTGATATGTCAAAGGACAACAAAACCAATGAAATTCAAGTAAAAGGTAGATTAAAGATTTATCTTTAATAAATTGATAAAGATAAAAAAATAAAAAAATATCATAAGCGAACAGTCAATAAACACAACCCACAGAACTACGATTAGTTTGATAAACATCTTGGGTATGCAGCAAACTTACTACTCCAAACTAATCCCTTTGAACTTTAGAATGTCAGCTAATAAAACTTTGACACAATTTTAATGTAGCAACTAATATGGTTTATTATTATATACTGTATATGAACCTTAGTTTCGCATAGTTTCATCTACTTTTCCTCTTTCCAGAATATCAGAAGAATGTTTGTAACTAAGGACACTAAAAACTTTTTTAAATGTGTTAACCAATGATCTAAATACCTTTCTTTTATGGTGGGTCGTCGAGGCATCCATCTCTTCCTCTCCAATATTATCAATCTGGGATGTTGGGCTGCAATTCATTCTTTCCTCTTCTTGCCTCTGAAGTCTGTCTGCTACTCCTTGGATGGCTTCTGTCCATTCTTCCCTGTTGATGTATATAATTAGATAAATTCCTATAATGGTGCAAAACATGTTCTGACTGATACATAAATTAAAAATACACAACAATGGGAGCCAACCAGGTCACTACTGCATTCCTACTTAGCTGTGCTACACTTTGGACAGAAATTTCCTATTGCTTTTAACCCACAAATCATGGTTGTATGTATATGGATGTATTTGTAACAGTACATAAGTGGATCAAACCAAGTGGGCAGAGATTTTAAAGAACAATGAAGCTCAACTTCCAAGTACAAATATATGATGCAATCATTTTTAAAGGCATACACTCTTCCAAGAAACTAAATTCTTGTTTAATTATTCTCTCAGTTTTCTGAAATAAACCATCACTAAAAAGTTTCTAAGCTAGGTTTGTATACGAAATGTTATATGAAAGTAAATCTAAATTATGGTAAAAATGTATATATAATAAATCTTTGTAACAGAATAAAATGTAAAAGTAATTAAAATTCAACATATTTATGATATAAATGGACAACATGAAAGTGTAAATCATAGTTTCAGAAGTATAGAGCTAGCAAAACTCAAATAACAATGTAGGACTGGCAAATCTCATTCCATAGTGAGGTTTTAACGAAAAAATTACAGTACATCTTGATATTGCATTGAAAATCCACTCTCCATCCAATATGTCCTTTTGTGTAATGAAAAGTCTACAATTAAAATCACTTTTTAAAAAAAAAGTAAAGCATATGTATGCTGCCTGAAAGAATGTAAATCTGGCCATCATAAGGGAGAAGACAGCAATAAACTTTTAATGGAGGACAAACACAATTCAATCTTGGGAAAGCAGGGACCATGAAAAAGAAACCTAAAATAATCCCAGGTGATTTTTTTGCTATAAAATGGGCAGGAAAAAACCCTGAAATGATCTCATGATTTTGTCATTTTACCCTACAATAACAAAGACCACTCCTGAAACCTTTACCGCTTCTGTTTCTTCACCATACTAACACAAAGGGCTAACATCTATCTTGAAAGCCTCAATATTTTGTGTCAAAGAGTCATGAGATCTTGCCTTCTAGATCTAGAATATGGCAGATTCTTAAGGTTTTCCTGAGAACAAAAGTAGCCAAAGTCTTATTGCTGTATGAACAGGAAATAAATTCAAAATTACAAACCTATAAAGTGCCACAATACAGCAAGCACATGTTGTGGGACAAGGCTTATCTCAGCCAGGAATGGCCCCCAAACTACCATACAGTGTTACCCCAGTCCCTTGCAAGTTGACTTGAGAAGTCTGATGGAACTCTCAATTGATTCCTGACATTTACCATATTTTTCGGTGTATAAGTCACACTCCCCCCCCCAAAAGTGACTGGAAATGTCTCTGCATCTTATAGTGCGAATGTTGCCAAAGCCCCACCCACCCACCAGCCCCCATCCTTCAGCTTCTGCCTTCCAGCAATTTGCTTCCTTGCAGCAAACAGCCTGGTCAGCTTCAGCATAGTCTGATTTAGCACGAGCAGCTGATTGGCAGTTGGATCTGCCTCCCGGAATACCACCTATCAGCTGTTCCAGGTGCAGGGATCAGCACCGCCCATCACCACTGTCACCGCCCATCGCCGCCTCCATGTGCCCCATTTTTGGCCTCAGCACGTCCCATTTTCGGTCCGTTCCAGGCAGCATGGATCACCTACCAATCAGCTGATCGTGCTAAATCGGGCTGTGATGAAGCTGACATGCTGTTTGCTTTTTGCTGCAAGGAGGCAAATTGCTGGGAGGCAGAGGCAAAGGCAGATTTTTTTCTTTTCTTTTTTCCTCCCCAAAAGCTAGGTGCATCTTATAGTCCGGAGCATCTTATAGTCTGAAAAATACAGTATATATCAGAAATTTTGCAAATTTTTAATGAAAGGGTATGATATCTTTTCTAAATCTCCCACATCTGCACCATTATTTTTTACAAAAATTAAAGACAGTTCTTCTTTGTGACTTGTTCATGCTTATTGACTTAAATTATACAAAGATAGTCCTTGACTTATGAATGGTCATTTAACAATTGTTCAAAGTTACATGAACTTTAAGAAAGCTACATATGATTTGTCCTCCAAGTTTCAACTACCACTCCTCCAGCAAAGTGATGGGTGCTTGCGTTTACTACTGTTTGTAGTGTTCCATGATAACATGACTGATATTTTCTACTTTTTGCCGATAACACCCATTCAGAAGAATCAATCTGCTTAATGACCATGCCATTTGCTTTATGACTACAGTGACTCACTTTACAACTGGCATAAAAATGATCATAAAGTCACGTCAAATCATGTGGTGCCTTACAACATCAACAACATATGACCAAAACTCTAGGTTCCATTGTGGTCTTAAGTCAGGGACTATCTATAACCATTAGAAATAATGACTATCTCTTCTTTTAGAACTGCTGGATCGCCTTCCGAAGGCACACACATCTTCAGTACACCAGGCTTGAGCAACAGTCATGATCTGATCCAAATCCCATGATTATTTAACAGCTTTTGACACACAGAATGGCAAATTTAAAACAGAAAAATCCTTATAATTCAATTAATTGCTCTGTAGTTTTCGCAAGATTCCGATGTGATGCAACCTAGCCTCCTGTGAGCAAGCCACAGCACCTGATTATAAGTGCCTGCAGACTCAGTGCTTGCTAAGCATAAAGTTAATTCTGAAGAAAGAGCAGTAGCAGGGATTAGGAAAACAGAAGTGGAGGGAGATGGCAGATACCAGAGGATAACAAAGAGAAGCTGAGGAAGTGCCTGGTGGAATTTTGTACCCTTATCAGGCCTGTATAAATAAACTTTCTCATCTTTCTACAATGCCTAGCCAGGACTCAGTTTAATGCCTGGGCAGAGAAGATAGCTGGTTCCTCATATTGTAAAACCTTAAATCTGGAAAAAGCATACAAATATGAATGGTCTACTCAAAAATAAGTCCTTTCAGAGTCTGAGAATTTTTTCTTCCCAGCTGCCACTCATACATTCAGCTCCCAGTTACCCCTTTGGTGTGTTTTATTCCAGTTTTCTTTTCCTGGCTGAAAAAAACCTATGATATTCTCAATAAAAAATTTCTAGCCTTAAAAGCAGTGTTTCAACAATAAGGCATTCTTGGAAGAAGCTATCCATCTCATAAAGGTACACATAAAATACAAGTATTTGGAACATTGACAAAAGGTACAAATACTGAGTCAATGTCAAATCAAGTGTGCAAACTTTTTCTCCCATTTTAATTCCTATATCATCTATGTTCCTGTTTCAAAGAACAAGCTGCCAGATATACTTTCATGCAATCCTGAGTACAATGTTTCCTGGCTATTTCCCATATTATTGAAATCAATTGCATAATGTAGTGCCAAAGGATTACTCGAGAAAGGCTAGGGGTAGAGAAGCAGAGGGTAGGCTAGAATAGGATTCACTTTTAATACATTCTGTATCTCAGTGCTCAAATGAATGACCTCCATATGTTTTTCTAAAGTCATTTATCTGTCCCCTTTCTCTTCAATTATACAATAAGAATAACACTTCTGGATGTGTCTGACTATGCATCTCATAGTCAGAGTTCTAATGCCAAGAAAGAGAGTGAATGTTGAAGACAATGTATTATCATGTCATGTTAGTCTACAGCTGAAGTTGTCATAATTAAAATAGCTTGTTTGCTTCAACTGCTCCCATCTTTTCCTAGATGACAGCAATAGCACTTATATACCACTTCACACTGCTTTACAGCCCACTATAAGTGGTTTACAGAGCAACCCAACAATTTGGGTCCTCATTTTTCCCACTTCAGAAGAATGGAAGGCTGAGTCAACCTTGAGCCTGGTGAGATTTGAACTGCCAAATTGCAGGCAGCCAGCAGAAGTAGCCTGCAGTACTGCACTCTAACCACTGCGCCACCATGGCTCATGATGGTGGTGGCCATCTTGCTGTGGCGAACCAAGCATGGCCATCCTGCGGCAGTCAACTCATCATGGGACAACTCTTCACAGGACAATCCACATAACTCAAGATGATAAATGTTATCTGGCACTATTTCTTCAACATTACTTCCATTTTTGTCAATGGAAATAATGTTGAAGAAGTAATAATGGATAATATTTATCACATTGACTTATCCCGCATACAATTATTCTGCAGCAAGTTGTCCTGCAGCAAATTGGCTGCAAAAAGTTGAACCATGGCAAGATGGTCGCAGCAAGTTGGCAGTGGCAAGTTGTCTCATTCTATCTGGAGATTGGAAAAGAGCTGATGGTTCCAATCTTCAAAAAGAGAAAAATTGATCCAGGAAACTACAGACCAATCAAACTGACATCATACCTGAGAAGATCATGGAAAAAATAATCAACCAATGCATTTGTGAAACAAATAAGAGAATTACTAAAAGCCAGCCTGTGTTTGTGAAATATAGATCATCCCAGACAAAACTTACTGGCTTTTTGACAAAGTGACTAAATTAGTGGATCAGAAAAATATTGTGTATAAATATAAAAATATTTATACAAATAAGATGCTGGCAGGGAAAAGCATTACCTGGTCAATTTCTCAAAAAGATTTAGGAGAAACTGGATAAAGATAAAGTCTGGCAATAGTTTACAACTGAAGATTTTATTTTGGCTGCACAAGAGCAAGCTGTTTGAACTAATGTAATCATGACCAGAACTGAAAAAATTGTCAAATGATTCAAAGTACATATTGTGCAGAGAAACAGATCATATACTTAAGTCATGCAGGAAGCTCCACAAACTGAATATAAACAATGACTTAATACAGTCATCAAAATGATTCACCAGAACATCTGTAACATTACCATCTGTCAGTAATAAAAATTGGTGGGAGAATATAATTGAAAAAGTAAAAAAATGAGCTGGTTAAAATATTATTAATTTCCAAATACAGACTGATAGATTATTGGGTCATGATCCACCAGTCATAACTATTGTTGTGTCTTTATATACTGTTTTCCCCAAAATAAGACCTCCCCAAACAATAAGCTCAATCGAACTTTTGAGTGCATGTGCTAAAGTAAGCCCTTCCCCCAAAATAAGCCCTCCAAAAATATTGCAACACAGCAGCAGCCATGATGTGATTATGCTCACCACTTCCTGCACCTCAAAAATAATAAAACCTCCCCAAAAATAAGGCCAAGTGCTTATTTTGGGGGTCAAAAGGAAATAAGGCCCTATCTTATTTTCGGGGAAACACAGTAGTTGTGAGCCAATAATAATAGTACTTTAGAATTCAAAGAAACCACAGATTTTAATCATTGTCAATAAGAAAGAAAGAAAAATCTAGTCAGTGGACTTTGCAGTACAGAAGATAGCAAAATAGAAGAGAGAGAACAAAAACCTGCAAATACAAATAGAATAACTGGCAAAAAGAAAGCAAACATAGCACCAATAGGTGCCTTGCATGTAATCCTAAAACATCTGGAGCACCATTGGAACACCACTGGCATTGATAAAATCATTGTCAACTGCTAAAAGCAGCTTTACTTGGAACAACTTACCTTATGTGATGATACATTTAACACCATCAAACAACACCTGCTTATCACGGAGCCTTGGGAAGGGTTCAGTACGTGGATAAAAAATACCAAGCCTAGTCTTAACATATACAATAATACAATAGCAGAGTTGGAAGGGACCTTGGAGGCCTTCTAGTGCAACCCCCTGCCTAGGCAGGAAACCCTATACCGTTTCAGACAGATGGCTATCCAACATCTTCTTAAAGACTTCCAGTGTTGGGGCATTCACAACTTCTGGAGGAAAGCTGTTCCACTGATTAATTGTTCTAACTGGCAGGAAATTTCTCCTCAGTTCTAAGTTGCTTCTCTCCTTGATTAATTTCCACCCATTGCTTCTTGTTCTACACTCAGGTGCCTTGGAAAATAGTTTGACTCCCTCTTCTTTGTGGCAACCCCTGAGATATTGGAACACTATCATGTCTCCCCTAGTCCTTCTTTCTATTAAACTAGACATACACAGTTCCTGCAACCATTCTTCATGTTTTAGTCTCCAGCCCCCTAATCATCTTTGTTGCTCTTCTCTGCACTCTTTCTAGAGTCTCCACATCTTTTCTACATCGTAGTGACCAAAACTGAATGCAGTATTCCAAGTGTGGCCTTACCAAGGCATTATAAAGTGGTATTAACACTTCAAGTGATTTTGATTCTATCCATGTTTATGCAGCCTAGAACTGTGTTGGCTTTTTTGGCAGCTGCTGCACACTGCTGGCTCATATTTAAATGGTTGTCCACTACGACTCCAAGATCCCTCTCACAGTTACTACTATTGAGCAAGGCACCACCTATACTGTACCTGTGCATTTCATTTTTCTTGCCTAAATGTAGAACCTTACTCTTTTCACCATTGAATTTCATTTTATTAGATAGTGCCCAATGTTCAAGTTTGTCAAGATCCTTCTGTATCTTTAGCCTATGTTCTGGAGTGTTGGCTATTCCTGCCAGCTTGGTGTCATCTGCAAATTTGATGAGTTTCCCATTTATTCCCTCATCCAAATCATTGATGAAGATGTTGAAGAGTACTGGGCCTAAAACAGAGCCTTGGGGTAGTCCACTGCATACTTCCCTCCATGTAGATGCAGTTCCATTGAGGACTAAACATTGAGTGCGGTTGGTCAGCCAGTTATGAATCGATCTGGTGGTGATGCTGTCTAACCCACATTCTTCTACTTTATCTAGTAGTAGGTTATGGTCTACCTTATCAAATGCCTTACTAAAGTCAAAGTAAACTATATCAACGGCATTCCTCCGGTCCACTAATTTTGTCACATTATCAAAGAATGCAATAAGATTAGTCTGGCATGATCTGTTTTTGACAAACCCATGTTGGCTTTTGGCTAATACTTTGTACTTCTAGATGTTCGCTAATTCGTTGCTTGATTATCTTTTCCAGAATCTTTCCTGGTATTGTGGTCAGGCTGATAGGTCTGTAGTTTCCTGGATCTGTTTTTTTCCCTTTTTTGAAGATGGGAACCACATCGGCTCTTTTCCAGTCCTCTGGTAGTTCCGGATGTTCTTTCCTCTGACTGTGCAACCAACCATAATAGTAATAATTTAAATATAACATCTCACCACATTCCTCCAGTTGTGTGTTGATCTTTCAAGCACTCTACAGCTATCATATATAGATCTTGCCCTCCATTCCTCCTGCCTCCATTGTTCTTTGAGCCTCTAATTTTCACCAGGAAACATAAACCACCCAACTTTCATTAAATAAGTAGTTAGCTTTAGTTATGAGCAGCAGATGCTCATAGGCAAGAGGACACCACGATTCTAAAGGAACGTTTGGTGTTGTTTTCCACTGCATTCCTCACTTCCTTTCACCTATCCAAAGAGCTAGAGTCAAAGCCTTGTCAGCCCTGCAGACCAAGAAACAGATGCCAGCGTGCCGAAAACTACTTTTATTAAGTGCCTATAACAGAAGTTTGTAAATCTGAATGTGTTTCTCCTCTCTTTTTTATTTTCATGTGAATTTGGAGGTGTATTTCTGAGACAATTTCATACCAATCTGCATTGTTTGTGTTTATGCAATGTTTATGTTTGTTGTCTTGGTAACAGATCCTCCCTTTCTCTGTCAAGGTCATCCCTTTTGCTTTCTATACCTCTTCCCTGTTACACATCAGATAATCCCAGTGAATTTCTTTCTGCAATTGCCTGCTTTAGCAGATTCATCTGGTATTTCACTGGTCCAAGAGGACCTGCCTTCTGCCTTGTGTCCTGGTAAATAAAGAAAGGAATATAAGGCAGAACATACCGTGGACTCGTGTTATAGGAAGGGATATGTAGACTAACTGAATACCCTGAATTGAAGGGATTGTGGGAGGAAGCAAAGGATTATCTGCCAGTGCTATCTGAAATTTTCACACAAAACCTGCCCCCGTGAACTACATCCAGAATTGCCAGATACTGACTCTAGAATGAAAAAGATTCTTCGTTCCCTGCCAAGTCAGATTCTTCAGTAGCAGTTGCTGTGCAACAGGAGGACAAGAGGCCCTTTCCAGTTCCATCTCCATCTTCATCAGGTTTATTTACTGACCTTGACAAGCTGCTAAATCCATTTTCACACAAAAATGATTATGTGCCCATTGCCCTTGATGATTTCTCTGACCCATTATCATGTGCAAGAGGGGAAATATGATTCTGGCAGGGAAATATGAAGTATTGAGCTTGGGAAGGGGGGAAAGGATAATAAACTATTTAGAGATCAGAAAAGACTACTTTGTCTTGGGAAAGTAGAAAGCATGAGAGATAAATTCAAAATAACCCTGCCTTGATTTTGTTTGGCATAAGACAGAAACTTTCACAGGCCTTCAAGATTCTGTTTTTCTAGATTTTTGCTTATTCTGTTTTTCTGTTTTATATGTTAACAGAAAGCTTTTCTGCAGTTCTGCTGCTTTGTTTCTCGACTTTGCCTACCTTCAAGGTCTGATACAATTCAAGTATTTTAAGTCACAATTAAATGCTATAATTTGTTTGTAGCTGTCACCAATGAATTAGGAATATTTTAGCTCATAATTTCAATAAATGAACACAAATTCTCAAAATGCATTTTTTCTTCTTCTAAAAACTCTGCCAACAATTTAAAAGCCCAACAAGACACACTTGGATTTATTTCTCACCGTTCTTCTGGAGTATCTACATGAAATGTTCTTTCTATCACAGTGGTCCATTGAAGACATCGAATAATAAATGTGTTCGGTTTTGGTCGCTCTGTTTTCATTAGTTGGCATTCTAGAAAAATAATATTTTTATAACATGCTGAAGCAAAATATTCTGTTACAAAGTACATATAGATACATGCACATTCAGTCTCTCACACACATGCATACACATTTACTCTACTCCTTAGGAGAAAAAATAATTAAGTATGTGTGAAAATGAGCTGGAATGAAATAAATGAATTATATTCAGTTGAATCCAAATGCTGACAAATTTCCAAGAACAGATGAAAGGTCATTTATGATCCCTTTCTTTTGCAGTTCCTGGCAGTAACCCCATCAAATCTTTTAGCATCAGGTCAGATGATGACATTCTAGATTACAAGGAGAAAAAGGGCCTCTGCAAAACACCGACACACTCTTCCCTCACTAATAAATCAGTGGATCAAAACATCTTGCTGCCTGAATCTTCCTTTCAAAGATATTCCCCAAAATAACAAGAACAATATGATGATAAACTTCCAATATGCATAAATAATTTTATTTAAAATTGCTACTTATATTTATTACTTTTCCTCTTCTTTCACTCAAAGATAAGTAATAACAGTGTCCTCCAGATGTTTTACATTAGTTTAAATCTCAGAAAGTTTAACCAATAGTCAAATATCATTGAACATGTAGCCTAACAAGCAGAGCATACCATGTTGCATATTCCTTAGTAGTACATTTCAAAACAAAGAAAGTAACTTTTCAGTATAGGTAGGTTTTGCTTACCAGCTGGCTTAGGCAGTAGTAAACCATTCTAAATTATGACACTGCTGAAAAAGTAATTTTGCAAACAAGATGTGCATTAATATTCTATGTCATCTATGCTTTACACTTTTTTTGCTTCGCCATCACAGAACATAGAGATTCCCTAAACAATCCCTTTAACCAATCTCTCCTGTTTGTGACTCCCCTTTTTCCCCCTCCTATCCCCACCTCACTTTGCAAAGCAGAGACGCTGGAGAAGTTGGGGTTACAAGAGAATAAACTTACTCCTCTCCAATGATTGTAAATTCAAACATTATTTTGTTTCTTGCTAATTATCCTAATCCTGGGATGAGCATTCTGAAGGTTGGCAAAGTGGAGAGAAAGGAAAGCTGAAGTAAAACCATAAGTACAGTCCCAGTTACATGATTTTCCATTTAACAATCAAACTGTCAGTCACAATTGGGCTCGCTAATTGAGCACTCTCTATATAACTATTTCATTGCCCTGATTTATTTATTTGTTTGTTTATTTACTCAATTTCTAAAACTGCCCAACTCAACCAACTGATTCTGGAAGGATGACGAGTAAATTGAAACTCTGAAAAAGTGTCTTAGACAATAGTAATGAGATTTATAAATTTAAGCTGCTTCGATATTACAAATCATGCCATTAATTCATGAGCTTGAATTTCTCTCACCTTTGTAATTAATTTACTTTGAATTACAAATAGTCCTTGACTTACAACCATTCATTTAGTGACCTTTTGAAGTTACAACAGCATCACAGCATCCCTGTGATCACATGATCAAAATTCAGACACTTGCCAACTGGCATGCATTATCTGCACAAAATATTCATTTGTGTACTTTCTTTCCTCTATTTGCTTCTAGATAATGCCTATTTCAATGTATTTTTAGTTCATACTTTTGTACACTGAATTCAGCAGAATAGTAGTGTGGGAGAAACCTGAAATACTGCTAGCACTGTATTTTAACTAATTAATGTTACCTTCTTGAAAGAGAGAGATTGATCCCACGGATATTGAATTATACTTTGAACAGGATCCTATGCATGTATAGGCTCGGCACAACTGCACATTGCCTCCCTTTAAAAAGTCTTTGATGAGGCTGAGCTTTTACAGCAACTCTGTTTTCATAAGGCTGCTCTAGGACTTTGCCTTTGTATCTGTAGCTGTGAGGGAATCCCTGTTAATCCTATTGTCCCTTTTAGACATCATGGCTAACTGGAATATATTGCTCAATGAAGTGTAGCACAAAACATAGCTCAAACTATTTTATAGTGATGAAAGAAAAGCACCAAAAAGGATATGGGAGCATAATGAAAACTATTCAAATAGTACAGCAATAATTAATTTTTGATTCAGTTTTTGTTGATTAACTAAACATTCAAATGAATGTCATACATTCACATAACACAAATTTATGATCAACTGACATTCTTTAGGAAATCTCTGAAGAAATTTCAAATGATCATTCAGTCTATCTTTTGTAGTTCCTTCCTGACCCCAAAAAGAGAATATATTATATTATTTACTAGCTTTTTTAATATTGTCAAAGGTCAAATGTCAAATGATTACTTTGACAGTTGGGCCTTAAAGGCAAATAGTGCAAGAATCTGAATGGAGATAAATTCATCACGAATGAAGGCAAATATACATGTCCCAGGATGATGTTGCAGGATCCAATTTGGATCAGTCAATGGGATCAGAGGGTTAGTCTTCCAAGCTTTTGGACTCATGAAGATGAAGCCCATCTTCAAGGAACATCTCTCTGCTAGTCTTCCAAAAGCTCGGAAATTTGGAACACTAAACCTCTGGTGAGTGAACCCAGACTGGATCCTGCAGAAATTTTTCAATTTCAGGTTTATCATTACACTTAAAATAAATGATTAGATTATCTGTGCAGCCTCTCCAGTCAACTCTCCAATCCTCATATTAATTTGGATTTAAAATATATAGTATAGTTACAATTCTCTCTGGCTAGAGTCCAATGAATTATTTCTAATGATTGAACTTTCTTCCATCAGCGGAACTAGGAAGATGGTGATTCATTCTCCGCTCTTGCAGTACCCTTACACACCATTAAAATCTGTTATGGAAGAATAGGAACCTGCCAAATGAGTTCCTTAAGCCAGATACAGAGAAGTCTACAAGTAATGCAAAACTAGATTTTTACAAGAAATATCTACTCAAGTTAGCACTGAATTCCAAAGTTAGTTAATTATATTAATTAATAAATTGAATGCAATTGTTAAATCTTATATGCCTATTAACTTTGATGTGTTTTTTCTCCATTGACAATTACCACTAACCAACATCAAAATGCGTATGTTTTTTAAATTTACAGCCAAGATGTAAAATGACAACCTATAGGCAACAAGTGATATAAGGCATGTTCTTGCTTCTTTCATAAATAAATATTAATAAATCTGATCAATTACAAAGTAGTAGGGTCCATATGTCTACAATTTTCTATGCTGAATATTTCAGAGGAAATTACACACAAATCTGACTTGAGTAAACTATACTACTTTCTGATTATGAATACTTAAATGTTGTTTAATATTTATATAATGCACAGACCATTATCTCTGCTGCATCTCTGAAGGGTCCACATACATAAACAAATAGTCAACTGCTAGATGATAGCAGGAATAAAAATATTTGAGATAAATTGCCCTAACAACCATTCTACCTCGCTTTACTTTACTGTCATTGTACATATATACACAGTTTACACATACAACAAAATTCACATAACACCCAGAGACCAGGCTCAACACACATAACAATCTCCAAACACACCCCCACCCACCCAAAAATTCCCCGCCCCTAAACCACCCAAACATCCACACAACAGACCAAGTAGTGCAGCCCAATAGCTTTAGTGACCTTTAGTTCATTGTTGAATGCAATTATAGCTCTGGGATAAAAGCTATCCAGAAGACGTGTGGTCCTAGTTTTAATTGTTCTGTATCTTCTACCAGAAGACAACAGTCTAAAAGGATTGTAAGCAGGATGAGAAGAGTCTCTGAGAATGTTATGCAACTTCCTCAAACAGCAAGATGCAAAAATGTCATCCAGGACTGGTAGCTGGAGCTCGGTGATATTCTGGGCAGTTTTATTGATTCTCTGTAGAGCTTTTTTGTCCACTGCAGAGCTGCTCCCATACCATGAAAGAATGCCGTATGTCAGGACACTCTCAATAGTGCTGCAAAATAGGACAGAAGTAGATGCTGAGATAGATTTATCTTCCTTAGCATTCTCAGGAAGTACAGCCTCTTCTGTGCCTTCTTCACAAGCATGTTAACATTCATGGTCCATGAGACGTCCTCTGAGATATAAATGCCCCCAAATTTAAAACTACCAACCCTCTCCACCTACTCGCCATTTATGTACAATGGTAAATGCACATCTCTCTTCCTCCTGAAGTCAATTATAAGTTCTTTAGTTTTTTTGGTGTTAAGTGTAAGATTATTTTCTTTACATCACAGTGTCAGCCCTTTTACATCCTTCCTATAAGCAGACTCATTGTTCTTATTAATGAGCCCCACCACTGTCGTGTCCTCCGCAAATTTAATAATTGCATTGGTGCTATACAATTGGGTACAGTCAGGTGTGTACAAAGAATAAAGTGACCGTTGGCTTACCTGAATGGTCGTTCTCTAGGCGCTGCGAGAGTGTCCAAGCACAGGTTAACATCAGCTTGCTGCCCAAGGACTGAGTTTAATATTTTTTGTAGCTCTGCCTCCTGCTCTCCTGAGAGGCTCAGTTTTAAAAAAAGAGAGTCCTAAAAGGTCGTAGATGGAGATGCAGCATGTCTCCCACTGGAGTACAGAACCCCACGGGCACTTATTCGGGCGGGGTTGGACACTCCCGCAGCGCCTAGAGAACGACCATTCAGGTAAGCCAACGGTCATTCTCCTAGGCGTTGCTTGGAGTGTCCAAGCACAGGACATGCCAAAGCTATGCCGTCCCGGGGAGGGAAGAAGAATTGCCCAAGCTTACGGGAGTCCCGATGACCTGCTGCAGAATTCTTCTCCCAAAGGATGCTTCAGCGGAGGCAAAGACATCAAGTCTGTAATTCTTGATGAATGGAGAAGGACTGGACCACGTAGTGGCTCGACATATCTCCTCAATGGATGCTTGCGTAGCCCACGCAGCCAAAGTTGTGGCGCTCCTCGTTGAGTGCGCTGTGATGCGAGAAGGGACCAGCCTGGCCTGCTGTTCCTCGGCTATCTTGATGCAAGCACGTATCCATCATTCTATGGTGGAGGAAGTGACTTTCCTGCCCATAGAGA